ACCTCCCTGCTGGACTGTTGCGGCCGCCCTGCCCCGAAGAGTGTGTAGTGCTGGAACATGGCGGCGACAATTGCGAGCACGAAGAAACCAAGGAAAGCTGGGTGCTGTGTGATGATAAAGCTCTCCAGTGATGCAGAGACGAAAGCTGTCTCAAGCCTTATACGAGCATGAGTTGAAGGCTTGCAAAGAGCAACAGAACCAGGTATGCTGATCGCAAGCTTGCTATTCAGTCTGTTCTGTTGTGCTGGTGTGAATGCCTATTGTCCGTTTGCTTGTGTGTGTGCATTCTCGAGCATCTCGCTTATATGCATTTGAAGTAACTCATGCGGGAGCTCTAAAACTACCATGTCGGCTGTTCTCTGAATTCTGGTCCCTTTTAAGTTTCCTTTTTATAAATGCTGTCGAATACTATGCTTGGGATCCAACAAGGGACCTAATTTAGAAAACCACCCATGTGCTATCATGCCCCGAGAACAAGACTGTAAACCCACTAGCCCCAAGTGCTGGCAAAGCCCTGATTCTTTCCCCAGAGAACCCAATTCCCCCTTGATTAAGGAATACATACCTCGAATCATCGGAGCCATTTCGTAATTAGAGGGTATTGGACTTTCTGAGTTTCGCTCAAACGTTCTAAGATATGTATGCAGATAGGCGGATAGACTGATCCAGCTGTCGTTACAACACCTAACCTCGTTCTAACATCGTGGCGACCCGTAAGAATTCCTTCCCATAGGCTACCGGTCAGAAAGAGGTTCTTCGGCTAGGCTATGTACCGATGCTCTGCCAAATAAAAGTAAAGTACGGATCCTGCGTTCATGCACACGACTACGAAGTGCTGATCCTTTAGTAGCCCCAAGACCCACCCAGAGAACCCAATACCCCTTAATTAAGGAATATACCTTAACTCATAATATGAAGGCCCCTCTAATTTAAGGTATATCCCTTAATTAGGGGTATTGGGTTCTCTGTACAGGAGCCAAGAAGCTGCACAAAACTGAAGATCAAGGACCCGCAGAAGAAAGCTGCGGCTGCCCGTGCCAGGCCAGGGTCGAGGCTCTCGTCGAGATACTTCACACACCGGAGCAAGTAAGGATACGTTGCCTGGGTTTAGGGTTTAGGGGCCGGAGCAATAGACACGTTGAGGTTCTTCGGGTTTCAAGAATTGCAGAAGGATCGGGGCAATGGCAAGACGGACGAGACTGCTGTGGCTTGGCAAATGCAACATAAAGTTTACTCGTTCTACGGCCAGATGCAGGGGACACCAACATGAAGAAGAGAAATTCAGTGAGGTTCGCGGCAAAATACTCGAAACTAGATCGAAAGCCAAGGTCATGAAGTGCAGGCTTTCCAGCCCAGGCAATAGGCGGGAAAGTTAAGGTCCAGGGGAACATGGCCAGCAAGCAATCCTCATGGCTTCGACGAGTGTAACAAAGGATGTCCAAGCTTTCTGTGCTTTTCGCAAAACGAAACAGATGCAAAAATGTCTTGTGAACTAAGGCTGCAAGACGCGAGATAGGCTATATCAGTCACGTCCCCGAGCTGTTCCACAACTGCATCGCGCATTGGGCCTTGTATATACTTGTTGAACTCTTCCAGGCAATCGTCATGTTTCGCAAGGCCCGTCACAGAACGCACCGCGAGACGATCTGCGTAAGTGAAGGATAGATCAATGAGCTCCTCGCAGTCGGATCAGCTCTGGGGCTTGTGGTGCATCTTAAACTTTCAAAACAACTCCAAACCCTAAACCCAAAATTAAACTCTCAACACAACTCCAAACCCTAAACCCAACATTAAACTCTCAACACAACTCCAAACCCTAAACCCAAAATCGAACATGCACCGTCCCACAATCCGATTAGTGCTCACTAAGCTCACGGATTCCTTTTTGCGCTCAGACCATTGGAACCTCAGGACATTTCCGCATGTCCAAGAACGGGAAACACGCAGAGAACCCAATACCCCTTAATTCAGGGATATACCTTAAATCATAGGGGCCTTCATATTGTGACTTAAGGTATGTTCCTTAACTAAGGGGTATTGGGTTCTCTGGGTACAAGCTAGAACTCTCAATACAGCGCCAAAGCATCTAGAGAACTGACTATCCCGTACTGAGGAGCTCTTAAATAACGGGTTCAAACCTTTCCTCACGGACCATTCGTTCACAAGGCACAACCGGCCCTAAACCCTGAACCCTAAACCCCTAAACCCCCAAAGCCCGAAACCCCTAACCCCAAACCCCTATAGTAGAAGATGATTATCCGCATGCCCTCAAGGTAAAGTACAAGGGATCCTAGCACTAATCCTCCTAAGCCCATGTTCCAACTCTCTGGCTTCTACTATAAACCCCCCTAAAATCTAAACTCTAAACCCTAAACCCTAGACCCTAACCCCTAAACCTTAAACCCTGAACCCCCAAACCCCTAAACCCCCCTAAAAGCCCGAAGGTTCCGAAGCTTGGAATAGCCCTAAACCCCTAACCCCTAAACTCCTAAACCCCTAACCCCCTAAACCCCTAAACACTAAACCCTAAACCCCTAAACCCTAAACCCCTAACCCCTAAACCCCTTATATAACCCCTAAACCCTAAACCCTATAAGGAAGCCCTACTTGCCTGCTCCAGTTGGGCCGT